TTACGGAAAAGGAAACCGTACGGACGCAGGAAATAAACGTACAGTTGCACGTCCTACTTCACGGTCCAATGAGCTTGAGAGAGGATTTTTAGTCACCGCCTACTTTGCCCGGCTCTGACCGGAAGCCTGGTGTCTCTTCCGCCCTTATTAAATATGGCCGGCTTATTTTCCTTTTCCTCCCGCCCACAGACTAGAGGCGGAGGCTTGCCTCTTAAACTAAGCGTGATTGGTCTCGAGGAGACTCGGAAGTGTCTCAGGTCAGCGCGGAGCCCCAGAGGAAGCCGCTGTAGCGTGGAGCGGCAATTAGCGACCTGTCCCACGCTCGGATCCAGGATCGGTCGATTTCCGGGCCGCTCTCGATGGTACTTTTGGATGGCTAGAGTTGGCCGCGCAGAGTATTACGGGACAATAATGGCCGCCTTCAAGGACCGGAATTTGGCGCTTTGAGGCCGTCTGACCCCGGGGTGGTGGCGCTAGCACCCCAGACTCCAGGACAGAAGGGTCCCAAGGGTCGTGCTTGGTGAGGTGAGTGTTTCTTCTTCATTCCCGACTCGTGTTTCGCTAATCATGGCGGCTCCAGGTGACGGATATCGCTCCCCAGGTCAGGTTTGGGCCTCGATTTGGAAAGTTCCTCTTGTCCTGGTCACCCAGTTTGCTTTACGTACTTGTGGAATGCTGGACCGATCCGATCTCCTCCGGCTTTTCTCCTTGCTTTCGTCGGATCCTGATGTCCGGCGAGGCCTCAGTGAGATCCAGGGATGCTGCCTGGGGTCGCCCCGCGCGCTTCCTCGGGGCTGCCCTTCCCCACTCCCAGGCAGCTCCTCTCGGCTTTTTCTTCCTGTCATGCTTGTAGTGACAGTGGTATCTCCACTGGGCGATCTGGTGCCGATCAGTAGTACAGTGTCACCTCCACGAGGGCATAGTTTTTGTCTGCTTTCTTCATTGTCGGGGGCAGCGCTTGGCTGACGGAGGCAGTGAATAACTGTTGAGTGAACAAGTCCAGGGTGTTTTCTTACTGCTTACCTGGTATTCCTGTGGCCTCTTCGCTTTACTCCTTTACCGGAAGCAGGCCCCTTAGCTCCTGTTTGTTTCGTTAAATCCCCTCTGTCAGACTCCTTGTCCTGCTTTGTGGGTATTTTTTTCTTGCAGGGTCTAGAAATGTTTGGTTCCCTGTTCTCCTTCAGTAAGTTTAAATCTATGCACTTATTTATACGCCAGACATTACTTTTGCTTTGTACTGGGCTGTGGCAGCTAATAAGGCAGAGAACACTCACTTGCATGGAATGGAATTTGATGGATGCATTTTCTAGTTTATATGACTGCTGATGAGTTTGAATATCCACCTTCCTCCTTGGATTTCCTCACATCATGCAGATGTCACTAGCAGTGACATTTTCAAAGTGCAGCTATTATTTCTACTATCATGCTTCCCGTGTCAATCAGAGCTTGGCAGACATTTCTGGATTCAGGAAGTACCTGCTCCTTAACAATTTATTTGCTTCACTAACTTGTTGTATGAGGGGAATTATCCCAATGTCCCAGATAGCTGTGTGCTTGTAAGTGGGAGGTTAAGATGAATTTGTTATAAGTTGAGCCCCAGGAAGTCTTACAGTTTCTTGAATATTTCTTTACTCTGATTTTTTCCCCTCTTTTGAATTTCTTATAACTTCTTTGTTATTGTTTTCTTTTTCATCTTTCTTTTTCTTTTTTTTTTTTTGGCAGAACTGGGGACTGAACTCAGGCCCTTGCGCTTGCCAGGGAAGCGCTTATTCCACTGAGCCATCTCCCCAGCCCCAGTTTCTTGAATATTTCTTGGAAACACCTTTTCCTGATTTAATATTTTTCATAAATATTTTTGATGAACATATATTGTTGTTAAACCATTGTGAAATTGTGTTTTCACTAATACTGGTGGACTAAAGGGAGTAGAATTGGGTGATACCTTTGTATCCCCATGTCTGTAGTTTACTGTATCAGTGTTTAAAGGGAGGGCAAGGTAGCAGAACTTGTAAAAATTGTTGAGGAACCCAAACAGTATATAAGAGTCTAGCAAATAAAGTGGTGTAACAGTAACATGTAACTTTGCACACCTACAGGGTGTGTTCACATACACCATTTGGTTTGGTTTGATTCTCACAACAATTCCACAGGTTAGATAAAACAAAAATTATTTCCATTTCACAGATACAAAAAGCATGGTTAGGCAATCTTAAGTTGCTTACCATCACAAAGTTAGAAAATGTCACGAGCCTGGATTCTAGTGAGGTTATTGACTTTAAATCTAGCTTCTCCTACGCTACCTTATAGATCCCATCGTGGTGGTAGTATATGGCCCTTAGTGAGTTCGTTCCTGCCTGGGTAATATTCTCTTGGAGCCCAGTGTTTTTTTGGGGGGGAGTTGGTATGTGTTGGGTGGGAATAGGATCTTCTGAGGTTGTCAGTGATCTTGAAAGGTCTTGATAAGAGGTAGACAAGGTCTCAGCATGGGGAGGTGGGGTTAATCACCTAAGTATATGTACAACTATAGGTATTTTGGGATATAACAGAGCTAAGCCTTCTCTCGTATGTCCAATACCACATAGTTTCCTTTCGTTCCAGAGAAATCTCAAAGCCTGTGATGGAGGGTACCATTGAAGATGCCTCAATCCATCGATTAGAAGGCACTGATCTGGACTCTCAAGTTGGCGGTCTTATTTGTAAGACCAAAAGTGCAGCCAGCGAGCAGCACGTGTTCAAAGCCCCTGCTCCTCGCCCTTCGTTGCTGGGACTG